AAATTTGTTTCTCAAAAATTTGTTTCTCAAAACAATATAAACCAAATCAAATTAATCAATCAAAATATAATGACACAAACATCATATCATCACACATCATATCATCACACATCATCAAAAATATATATTTATTAAAGTTTAAAATTATCTTAAATCTATTGCCTAAACAATTACCAAGTTAAAATGAATCTTATTTGCATACATTCCATTACTATATAAGTTGATAAAGCGGGTTTTTTAAAGCAACATGAAGATTACACATAAAATATTCAGTGTGCTTCTTTTTTATAGTTACTGGGTCGCGCTCAGCCTGTCATTCCGCCCAATTTCTATTCGGCGTTGTTTATGAACATAATAGCCTGAGGTCCCCAGGTAATTTTATAGTAGTCCATTGATGATAATTTAATAAATTGAATTTAACCTTTATGGATGATACTGCAGTGAACGGTAAATAAACGTGGTTTACTAAATAAAAACCATTACTAAATAAAACCATTGCACAATATATAACTCTGCGCGTTGCCGAGATGTGACAGGTTATTGATTTGATTACTTTTACCCTGTTACTAAAGCTCTTAAAATGTTCAGTACCAAATACAGAAGCAAAATCGACGAAGCTTTGTTTAAAAGGACTGCCCTAAGACATGTACGTGTGGCCAGAAATACTCAGCAAACCATTACATGCGCTCATCTGCAAACTTGGTGGATATGTGTCACTGCGGCACAACTCGCTGAGAGACACCTTTGCAGAACTAATGAGAACTGTGAAATGCAAGGATGTGCAGACGGAGCCAGGTCTTCTACCAGTTGATGGTCTAGAATTACCAAGGGGAACAGTCCTAGGAGACCAAGCCAGGCTGGACATTTCTGCAAGATCGATTTGGAATGCTTCAGAGAGGGCATTTTTTGATGTAAGGGTATTTCATGCCCCAGCCCCCTCCAATGCAAGCAAATCGATACCAGCAATGTACCTTTCCCATGAAAATGAGAAAAAGCGATGTTACAATGCAAGGGTTCTTGAAGTGGAGAAAGGAAGCTTCACACCTTTAGTGTTCTCGACTTCTGGTGGAATGGGTGGTGAAGCTGAGAGACTGGTCAAGAAGCTGGCCAGTAAGATGGAGTACCACACTGGCCAGAGGTACTCGCTGTAGGATACATCAGAAAGCGCCTTCGCTTTGAAATCCTTAGAACAACAGTGATTTCTCTCCGTGGAGACAGGGGTGCAAAAAAGAACATTGCAATTGTTGATATAAACAGTCTAGATCTTAACTTGGAGCCACAAGGCCAAAGGTAATTTTTGATTGTTAAGGGAATTTTTTGAATTCTTTAAGGGTTGATTTTATATAGGGTCATTGCTATATTATGTGTATATTGTTTGAATAATTTTATTATATAAGCTTTGTTTAATATGTGTCTGGACAAGAGCTTAAATAACATCTGAGCGTCATTCTCTATTGAAACGTGTCAAACAGTATATATACAATAAATTAAATCAAGTGATGCAATTGGCAGAGCACAATCGTAAATCCTGAGCAATAGATATCATCTATCCCTCGTAGCTCTTCTCCTCAGGTATCAGGTTGAAGGAGACATTGGATATAGGGGCAGTCCATGCCTTCTTTGCCTTTCCACGTACACCTCTAACAGCTACTAGCACACTCCTCATTATATCCATGCTCAGGCGTGTCCTGATGTTACACATCACCTGGCTGTAGTCCTCCTTTGTCTTGGTGGCTATCAACACAGCAAGTCTTCTTATGAAACACTTGGCCTCCGGTGCCATTCCTCCTGTAGTGGTAAATACAAGGGGGACGAATGACCCTTTCTCCAATTGTAGCACTCGGTTCATGTACTGGTTCTTTTTCTCATTCTCGTGCAGAGTGTAGAGCTGTGGCATGGTCTTTCCTTGATATGTAGGCGATTTAGGATTGAAAATGCGCACATCAAAGAAAGTCCTCTCAAATGTGCTCCACACTCCTCTTGCTGATATATCAAGCCTAGCCTTATCAGCATTGTTGCCCTTTTGTTGGAAGTTGGCCGATTCTATAGGTGTTAAAAGGGGCTCAATCCTCACATCCTTGGTCACCAGCCTAAGGTATTCAGCAACGGAGTCTCTCACGTTGTTATGACGGTAGTTCACATACCCCCCTCTCTTACAGTTGAGGATATGATTGTGATCATTCTTGGCTCCGCAATCGCAGAATCTTGGGGTGTTAGGGATGTCCCAACCATACCGGAGATGAACAGCATCTCTGAAGTCTTGCTTGCTGTAAGCATACCCTAGCTGTTGAATGGGGAGACATGTTAGCCAAGCTCCTGACCCATGCTCTTGTACCAGCTGCAATGACTCCCTGGTATTCTCATCCACTTCACTCATTATCTCAGCAAGCTCCTTCTTCAAGCGTAATTCTTTAACTAACTTGAGGCAATCTACTCTGCCCTTTATCTTAATTTTATCCAACTTCATCAGGGATGTATCCTGGTGATAGATAAGGTCAACCAGCTCCTCTGTTATCTTAAGTGACGTCTGGTATTCCTTCTCCGCGATCTCTACTGGATTAACAATACCAAGCCCCCCTAATCTTACAGGTAGCGCAAACATTCTCCTGTGCAGATCAGACACATTCCTACCAATAATTGCAGGGATGAACTTTTCTCTTATACACTTCTCCAATGGGATGAAGAGGTCTTTAGTGTCTTGGATGGTACGCATCACAAAGGTCCACCGATGACATAGGGCTTTGGTATACCCTGATAGGGCTGCCTGAGGTTCATCGAGGGCAATAACTGACAACTCTTCTACATCCTTCACCCATTTCTCTACTTTCTTTTTTACATATGTCTCTCTAGCCTCCTCTCCACCTATCACTGCTCCCAGATGACGCTCCCCATCACATGTGATCTCTATACCAGTCTCTCCAAATAAAAACGTGGCTGCTGGTAGTAGCGATTTTTCTTTTAAGATAAGAATAGTCTTCACTGCTTTAGGGAAGTAGCCTAACTTAGGACCGTTTACACTGAGTAAATCCCACCACAGCCGGAGTTTCTTCAGGGTACCTGCTGCTGCAGAGTCATCTGCATACCACGCTTGCATCAATTCTCCTAACTTTGTCACGCTGGCCAGGATGTTGATAAGAGGACGAATACCGATAGCATACTCTGCCATTGCTGCCACATCCCCTTGCGTTGCCCCTTCATCAGAGTAAATTATCTCACACGAATATGTGTCGTTGACAATGAGTTTGGCTGATTTCTGATAGGTGTTTTTCAGGTATTGGTGAAACGGAGGACATAGCTGCCTAATGTTGTGAATAGCTGCTTTGCGATTAAGCCTGTTAAACGCATTATCAGCATCAACAAGAAGCACTGCCTCTGTCTTAGGATCTTCCCATGTCCTCTTAACTGCTCTGATGGATGCCTCAATGCCTGACTCTAGCCCAGCACATGACTGAAGAGGTCCTGCAGCCTCTTGTATATCATCCTTAATTACCCCAATAACCACCTTGCCAACAATACGCCGAAGAACCTCTCCTACCCCCACCGGCCGTACACCAGGATTACCTCTCTTATCGTCACCCTTATTCAGTGGTACCAGTCTACAGGCCACAAACTCATTCAGACTCTCTGGGTTAACATCCTCTACACACAAACGCTTTGCAAATTCAGCTATTGCACCGCAGAGTTGAAAAGGAAGTTTCCCATACGCTTTAGAGCACAAGATGTGCTTCCACCCATCTGCATCCAAATGGGTTGGGCCACCTGAGCCCTTAACATGGAGTGCCGCTTTCTCAACTAGCTCTGCCGATATTTCAGCAAATATCACCGACTGTGCCTGAGGCGCTGTTATAGGTAGAAGGATATCAGCTGGAGGTGTCTCAGCTTTAGGATGTTTCTCTTGTAATAGACTCTTTATCTTTCTATTTAATGTGTGTACCCCAACAACTGAGTCTTCGTTGTTGATGAGCTTCATGGCCTGACATACTTTACCCACCATCATTAACCTACTAAAGCCTTTCATTTTTGATGGATCTTCAGACTTTTTCCTTCGTTTTAGCTTCTCCTGGATGACACGAGCCTCATCCATGAGGGAATTGAGGTCGCCATCCTTCCACTTTTCTAGTCTATCTACCAGGTACTTGGCATTGTCTCTAGCTTTTGACTTAGATGAAGGCTTCTGTAACATAATAGGGATAAATATATGGACTAGCTGCAATGAAAGACTCTCCCAGGCCGTTTTATTCACAAACAGGTACAAAAGTCGTGTCAACTCTTTGATAAACTTCTCCCCACTCTTATCCCTTGGCACCATAAACAAATTCCTACACCACGTAATAATTTCATCATATATCCCCGTAAGTTCTGACCGTATACACCCTTCCCCAACCATGGTACCCCACGTCAAATTATTTGATCTATTCAACTGGCAGCAGTCACAGTACCATTCATCATCTTCACTGGTTTTATGATCCTCATACTCTTCATCACTCATACACAAGCAGGCCTTATGAATCCAAACCTCGCACTCCTCACACTGCAAAGCATCTACATGCCATTCAACTCTGGTTTTACATATAGGACATATGTCATCTATCTTCTCCTTCTCATTTGGTCTACATTTTTTCTTCTTATCAACTCTTGTTTTATGATTGATGTTTACTTCTAGGACTTGAGGTCTATTTAACAAGGGTTTCTCTGTTCTGATGTGGCGCCGAAAGTCATATCTCGAAGAAGATGATTGAAGTTTGATAGAATTGGTTGAGTTTAATACTTTCTGATTATACACAGGTTCGTTAGTACTTTCTTCTTCAGCTTGTCCGTTGGTCTCTACATGTTCTGTACTGGCTGGGGCACTATCAGTGTGCCCCGTTTGCCCGTCCTTGTTTGCCATCCCTGAACTCAAATTATTTGTTATATAGTAGTGTTGAAAGTATTCATTCTCTATAGTCTTGGAAACGATTAGCATTTCTTTAGCTTTGCGAAGTAAAGTAGTGGGATGTTTATTCAATACATTGATGTCCATCCTCAGTGCCACGACATTCGTTCTCTAACTTTAAATCATATATTATTTTGGTTTCGACGTAAGGAGATGGCAGCTAAAATATAGAAAATTCGTCAATAAACGAAAACTAATCCGGATTAAGAGATGGGGAGACAGTATGGTCAGTGAGGTAGGAAATGATTAATTTAACCCTTTCGTTTTTTAACCACTATGTCTTCAGAATGTAACAGTAGCTTTGAATGAGATCAAACTTTTGGTGACAGAATAGCTGATTTGATATTATTAAACCAGATGATATTTTCAGTATATTCTAAAATTACCCATTTTCTATGGCCCTTTCATCCCTCAGCGCATTGTAATTGAGCACTTTAGTGACTATTAGATCTATTATAGTTATATATTTTATATAGTTTAGCTTATACTCACTATGTGTTGGAATCTAATGTTGTCAACAATCGTATAAGACAACTTTATTGATTGAAATAAATTTTCGTGCACATACAGAATGAATGGTTAATAATTTAATATATATGTAGACCAAGCTCTGTGCACGGGATGCTTCCTGGAAGAATCCAGTTCTTTTAGCGGGGCACCCTACCTAAAGCCAAATTGAGATATAATAATCATATTCCTAGGGAAATAATCAGAAATCGAATACCAATCGCTGTTGAATACCAATCGCTGTTGAATAATTCAACCTGGAGAGTACTTAATGGCTGAAAATTTGGCAAATTGGTCACCTTAATTGCAGCGTTTTTTGTCTCATAATTTGCTGTATACTAAAATAATCTGGGCAGGTGAGGAATCGCACTATTTGCAAAATATTAATTCACCTACATATCATGTTGCCCCTGATTCTTGTGAAACATGATAATCAAGTTCGGAGTGTTAGCTTAACATATGTGTTCTGGCTTGCAGACTCAGTTGTGGCACCTAATTGTGCCTTTCTTCCGACCCACTGTTTCGGTGGGTAGTTGAAGCACCTTCTACAAACAAGAGCCGCTTTGACCTACTTGCTGTGAGGTGTATCATCTACATGAGTCGGGCATCACATTTATGTTTATAGAACAATATATTCATTGAAGTGTATTAATTTTTTAGATCTTTAATTTAATATAAATTATTATTGATGTTTTATAATGTTTTAGTGGGCTGTAAGATTCTTGAAATCTCACAATTGTCTGTTGGGAATTAAAGTTTTTGATCTTTACTATATTTTGTTAGTAAAATGGTCATTTGCATTGTAACCAGTTATTTTAAGATTTTGATCATCATCTTCCATAATTTTGCTGGTTTAAGTGACTATTTATATTCTTAGGTATGTACGTTAATCTTGATTCAGTTATGAAATATCAGTAGAGATACATCTAATGGAGTCTATCAAAACATTCTGAATCTTGATAAGGTTTAGTGGACACATCAATGTAAAATTAGTCTTGCTTGTGTCATCAATTCTAGTAGCTGTGCTAAGGATTTCATTTTGTTTAGGCAGTCTCCTGCAATTGACTCAGCCAAATGGTCAAGAAATCTGTTCTATTATTAATATTACAATGTCTTTATTATATAAGAGATCTTAACTTGACAGATATTTTGGCTGGCACTCTTAATCATTTTCATTTGTCATATCTGTTTGGAGTCAATCAAATTCGTATGATCCAAATTACATTATGCCAGAATCTGTTCATCTTTTTAATTAATTTTCTTTCATAACAGAAAGCTAAGAAATTTCCTCATTAATGACCGTCTATATGTGTGTTTGTGGGATTCGAGTAGCATTCTTTTGATGTTACAAATTGTATTTGAAATGTTTTTTAAATGTTTAAAATCATATTCATTTTCTAGGTTTATTAAATGGGTCGAAACAAGAAAAGCGGGGTGGCGAGACCGGGAAAGAAGACGGATGCAGCTTTCTCTAAGACAAAGAAAAAAGTTGGGAAGAAGATTTTAAAGTCAAACGATACTGTGATAAGCATTAAAACAAGAAAAATTGTTCTACCAGAACAACATGCTACCAAAGACAGCAACATGGTATTTAAAGGAAAAAGCATATCAGAGTACATAACTGGTACCAAACATACAAACAGCAATCAGAGAATTCAGAACTTGGTCAACACCCAAGAAATGCTGTCCACCAATCTACATTTAATAGAACCCAATGCTGGTGCTTTAATTGAGAGACTTGGTGCGGTTCTACAGGATCCAGAGGAAAATGTCCGATCATCTGCTCTTGTCCTGGTTAAAACTATTCTTAATCATATAAAAAGTGAAGATTTGCTGCCGTTCTTGCAAGTTTTTATTGCTCAGCTGTCCAGTGGGCTGCTTCATATCGATAAAGGTGTTCAGAAAACAACAGTTTTAGTGCTTCTGTGTCTGTTTCAAAATCATATATCCAATGCCATGACATTCTCTGAACCCTTACTCTCGTCACTTGTCACCCTCCTGTCTGCCAACAGAAACAAACAAAACACACTCCTTTATTTTCAAGCCATTGCTCTCATCTTAAAATTCTATGTTCACTCCGAGGATAGCCGATCTTATGGTTAGTCATTTTCCTTCTTTTCCTGTATGTTTCACACATTTCATTATATTGCAATGGTTGTATTGCTTTTTAATATTAGAAATGTCAAATTTAATCTCCCATGATTCAACACTAAACCGCCTGCACAACAAATCACAGAAACCCAGAAGTCCGGTTCGGTGAACCTGTACAAGTACACGTCCCGCCAGGAAGCGGTCACGTCTCGACCGTCCCAATCCAACCTCTTGGTCAGGGTGTGTGAGTGTGCCCTGCCTCATGTGGAGACTATCTGGCTAGAGGATACCCCCTCTCAGGTAATTAAAAGTGATACTGTTATGGGCTTATTATATCTTAATTAAGCTAACAGTTAAGGAGGATATACTTTTATGTTCGAGATAAGTTACTTCGGCCTCCTTAATGTTTTATCATTTTTGCTTTGACCAAAATTGAGCCCCTCATGCATCTGCAATCTGTATCATTCACACCATCTTTCTGTCGTTAGCTGGTTTCAATGTTTATCCGCTATGTCGATGTCCTGACACGTAATGATTTTATGTAGTACCAAGCATGAAATCCTATCGGCGGTATTTAAATTTGTCATAAGGTTAACTGGTAAATACTATACACATAACGGGAACACTAAACTCGTGATATCACTTTGCAGATGAAGACTCAGGACACCATCCTAATCTAATGATCCCAGGTTTACGCGCAGGCGGAACCTAATGTCCTTAAAACAGTCAGCTCCCTGGTAGATTTCCTGATACTGGTCCACAAGTCAGATCTGAAGCACAGTAAGCTGGCCCTGGTAAAGTTGAACAACATCAGTAAATCAGTGGCGGGGAGGTTCCCTCTTACCTGCAGTGTACCTAATCGAGACACCAACGTGGTGAGTTTGTTTACTCAGCGTCAAACAACTAATGTAAGGTTGCTGTTGCCCACAGACCGTGGTTCTCGTCCTTTTAATTTTATGTACATGATGAATATACTAAACATAAGTTGAGCACATTTAATAATGTAAGCCGGAGATATGACGGAAACGTTGATAACATTTTCCTGTCTGGAGAGGGATTTGTATTAATATGTTACATGAGACTCGCCTAGGATTCAACTAATTTATCCACTCTGGCATTGTTCAAGATATTTTACCCCTACATTATAACAATAAACTTAGCTTTATTCGCTAAGTAGTACAATGTTAATTTAAATTGAGCAGATGAACATGGTACAGATGAGTAATTTACTTGTTAGTCGTTAAATACCTTGTTAAATTAACTTGTCAGCTAGCTTAATACATTAGCTTACTTTAACTAACATTAACTGTGCCGGCTGCTAACTGTGGAACATTTTTCCAGCTGTGGTCACTAAATCTGAAAATGGCACAGTTTCTACTGGCGGTGGAAAAGTTCCCGAAAGTCGAACGGTACTTCGTGTACTACTTCAAATCAAGAATTCAGGTTTTTATCCTTTATATTTTACTAATTCTGACACTAATAATTCTAATATCGGTGTGTTCGTCTGATAATGTCTCCCTAGTAGATAAGAGCAGTACTTAATTACCGGGATATTATCATTATTAAAGACTGCCTTCTCTACTACTCAGACTTACGTTTAATCTCACTATTCTCCGGGAAACTTAATTTCTCGCTTAATTTTATAAGATTTGAAACATTACCTGCGTCTTGCACCAAAGGACCTGGTATTAATTAGCAGAGGTTTAACTGCACCCTGCCAGAATAGGGTTTAAACTGATCCGTGAAGTGAGACTGAACCTTCCGTACGTGTCGTGTACCTTATCGCACCCTTCTCCGGTATAGGAATTTCTCCCTGAAATCTAATTAAACCAACTCATCCTGATATCACAGTGTAGGCTACCCTTCACCTGATCCTGGGTCTCCTCCTCATTTCCCGGTACACTTTCAGGAGTTGTCAGAGAGCGACGTGTCAGACGGACTAGCCCTGTTAGCTCGGATACCATCTCCTGCTCCTGATACTATCTCAGAACTGCTGGCTCACGCCGTCTCCACTGCCACACACGCCCCGTTATTCCTCTCTCAGTTTGTCAGAACTCCCTGGTTACATTCTGTGTAAGTCACCGATCTAATTTGTGGCAGCCCCCAAACTTTATTTGTCTTAGTGGAACAACTTCTAGAAGGTTCTGAGAGTTACTCTGGCCCTGCCTGAGCTGGCCCAAGAGTGTGTAATGAGTGTTTTACCTCAGTGTATGTTTGTGTGCGTGTGTGTGTGTGTGTGTGTGTGTGATGAACAATTAATGATATTGCTTTATTGAGCACTGAGCAGCCACACACCTTCTAATGTGCCGCTATATAGTCGGTGAAGGCCACGATAGCTAAGAGTATGTTCAGGTAATTATGGCCCACCTTGCGGTGTAAAGGACGGTGAAAGGTGGCGGGTTGTTGTTTTAAAGTTTGATAGAATATATCTGCATGTTGTGTGACCTCAACACTGCAGTAATTTGTGCTATCCACAGTGCTTATCAACAAAGAAACAAAGGTAGTGAATATCTTGAGCAGCTTTCTCAAAACGGGAACTTTAAAACTTGGTTCCGAAGAAAATTAGTTAAAAGGCCGGGTCATGAACTGTTTTAGACTACCAGGGACAAAAGGATTTCGCGGCATGTACGAAACCGCGAAATTTCCCATTCTCCGCGACAAATCGCGATTTTTTACGTTTTCCGCGACAGATCGCGAAATTTCCCATTCTCCGCGACAAATCGCGATTTTTTCAGTCCTCCGCGAAAAATCGCGCATTTTCCTTTAAATCTGAGGACCAAGTTTGCGTATTTTCCATAAAATCTGCGGGCCAAATGTCACGTTTTCTACAAGTATTAAGTATATGAAACTAATCACATTTACAGCCTTCCGTGAGTTCCGATTGCAATGATTTCGATTGTAGGTACATTCTCGATACGTACCTCTGAAGGCGGAGCTTCCGAGCTTCCGGAGCTTCCGAGCTCGTATTGCGAAGGGAAGACCTGCCTTCCGAGATCGCATTACAAGGGGAGCCCTCGAGTCCAAAATCGTGTATCGAAGGGTATGTGTGACCTTTGAAACCGAAAAAATATTTTCGGCTCATAATGATCAGGGTAGCATGAAACATGAACAAAAGTAGTTTCCAGAAAAACTTTGAAAAATTTTGACTTAGAAAATTTTCTGTCCGAGTCATTCTCGATACGTACCTCTGAAGGCGGAGCTCCCGCTTCCGAGCTCGTATTGCGAAGGGGAGGCCTGCCTTCCGAGATCGCATTACAAGGGGAGCCCTCGAGTCCAAAATCGTGTATCGAAGGGTATGTGTGACCTTTGAAAACCGAAAAAATATTTTCGGCTCATAATGATCAGGGTAGCATGAAACATGAACAAAAGTAGTTTCCAGAAAAACTTTGAAAAATTTTGACTTAGAACATTTTTTGTCCGAGTCATTCTCGATACGTACCTCTGAAGGCGGAGCTCCCGCTTCCGAGCTCGTATTGCGAAGGGGAGGTCTGCCTTCCGAGATCGTATAATATGGAAGTTGACCAGTAGACATATAAAACTTGACCAGACGACATAAAGTTGACCAGTAGACATATAAAACTTGACCAGACGACATAAAGTTGACCAAACGACATATGAAACTTGACCAAACGACATAAAGTTGACCAGACGACATAAAGTTGACCAGTAGACATAAAAAACTTGACCAAACGACATAAAGTTGACCAGAAGACATACAATGGATTAAGAAATCGAACAGTATGTTAAATCAGTGTTGTTATTGAATCGTCAGTAGTCAGATATTTCATCATCGATAACGTCATCGTTATTCGCTTGGTATTGTATTCGCTTGTTATAATGGACCGCTTTGTCAAACGGCCTGCCGACAAACCGGCTGGACCTTCGTCTAGCAAACGCTCGAAACAGGCTAAACAGGGCAATGTAACAGCTTCCACGAGAGTGGCTGAATTTGGCAAATCATCGTTTTATGCTGACAATGGGAAGCTATTTTGTAGAGCATGTAATCTCGTCGTAGACCACATAAGGAACAATCATGGGCTTCCCTCGGGATTTGGTTAGAACTTCTAGAAGGTTCGTGCAGGGGGCCAGGGTAAAGATGTCGTCCAGGTTGATGTAAGCTTCAAGGGGTAGAGGTTGGATACTAGATGGGGATAGACTAGGTAGGGATATGGGAATTGGATTGAAAAGTTCGTAGTATTCCATTGCTATAGTTGTGAAGTGTTATAGATGGTCGAATGATGATGTCTCCTGTCGTCTGTTGAAAGTTATTTAGTATCGATAACGAGATATGTCATACAGTACGTATGACATTGCAACATTTGAGATCATGTCAAAAGTTATGGCAGCTCTTGTTGTTATGGACCCCCATCATCCTGTATCAGATCATATGATGAGATCACATCCTCATGGGACATGAGCCGATCAAATAGAATAGTCAAAGAATATGTGAACTCTAACTAAGCACTGTAAATACATTATTTTTTGCCGCGAATTCGCCGCGATTTTTCGATTTTTTGCCGCGAATACGCCGCGATTTTCGAAATTCCCGCCGCGAATTAGCCGCGAATTAGCCTAGTTTGGCTTGTCGCGGTGCCGCGATTTTTGGCCAAAATAACCGCGAAATCCTTTTGTCCCTGTAGACTACTACATGATAAAATCATGTTCTCGTAAAAATAACGATTTTATAACGATCAACTGCATGTGTTTTAATCGTGCTATAATTTCAGAAATCTAAAGAGCAACAGTCAGTTCCTGACCAGTCTGCAGGAACATATAAACCACGTGGCCCCCGACATTGTAAACAGCTTCTACAAGAGCCAGCCAAGTGGAAACACCCTGAGAAGTGGTGTACTTACTCCCGGGGTTCCTACACAGATATTAGCTCTTTGTTTGGGTCAGTACATTGTCTTTATGTTGCCCCCCTCACATCGACCCTAACAAAAACAACTCATGTGATATTATACCGTTTTCAATTTGGTTTGGACACATAGTAAGACAGCACAAATATAGGTGAATTCTTCGTATATTTACATCACTAGCCTATAAAAATAAAATTAGGTTAGACTAATGAAAGCAATTTAAAAGTTAACAACTTGAAAATTTAAAACAGATTTTAATCTGAAACTTTACTAAAGAGCTCAATGTGCTAGGTAGAATGGACAACAGAGCATAACAGATTATTCAGCGAGTAACTACAATCCTATTTAACCCAAAAATATTAGTTCTAAATTTTGAAATAAGAATGCTCTCTTCTCTATCAAGTGCTGTTGGTCGGACTTTTCTTACTACACCTAATTTAAAAACTCCCATAGTGAAATCAGATTTATGCGCTAGAAAACAATGCATGGAAAGTGCCGACTTCTCAAATGACAATTCATTATCAATTTTAAACTTGTTTCTGTGTCCATTCATTCTGATATGAAATGGAGAAACCGTTTGGCCGAAATAGGTATCGTCTTTTAGGCTCTGGGGAAGTTTATTACAAATTTGGCATTGGGCGACATAAATTATATTGCTGTCCTTACATGTCAACCGGAAATCCAGAGTTAAATCCAAACCATTGACAGTGATAACTTCGTTGGAGTTGAACAGTTGGGGACAGGTTGCACAGCCTCTCCCGCCACAGTTTTGGCTGACGGTGAAAGAATCCGTTTCGGAGCACGAACTGAGTTTTCTATTGCGCACTACTGTGTTGCCTATAGATGGCTGTTTACGTAGTGCAAACAATATCTATACAATAATATATTATATATATAATATATTATATATAATATATACTATACAATAATATATTATACCGTTTTTCTAGTCACCGCGGGTGATCACAAAAGAATTTCCTAAAAGTTTGATGGTAACAGCATCATCCACCGTGGGGTCACATTGTTCAACTGTTTACACTGGTTTCCTTCTAGAAACTTCCCTCTAAGCTAACCTAGTATATTATGTTTAGAGATGGTCTCACTCGGCCTGTATAGAATGTGACTCATTGCTAAACTATTCAGTAATATATATATATATTCAGTAATATTCACAGCTTACACCGTGCTGTCATGTTTTAACTTTAAACTTTCGGAATTGCCTTTCTATAATATGAGGTATCCTGCCATCTACCTTAAAACTTTAAACTAAGCTGAAAATTAAAAAAAAAAGAAAGTTTACTGAAGACTGCATTCAGCATTGCTACATTGATCACCCCAAACCAGTACCCGTTCAATTCGTAACTAATCAGCTGTGATGTTGTCCCAATTAGACGTTATCACATTATCACTGGCATTAGTCAGGAATTAAGCCGATCCTTAGTCAAAAGTGTGTTAACAGTACTCCTCCCCCAACAAAGTAGCAATATACCAGAGATTATCACAAAATAAGAAACCGTGCTATTTCAGATAAGACAGTGTACGGGTTACTACCGGAGTCAGAGCAGGTTAGATGTTTGGAACTGTATTTCGGAGGTGGTGTGGTGTTGTCCCCTCGCAGTGTGTCAGATCTAGGTCACGTTTCCAGAACCAGTTCTGTTAAAGCAAAGTTCTACTCAGTTCTTTTAGCCTTGTGAGTTTAATTTTTACCCACATTTGTTTCCAGTACACCGTAAATGTATCATACATAATTGAACATTTACCTGTACTGTCCCTACCACTTAGTGTTGGTACTTACCAAACAAAACGTACCTACCAAATACAATATACCTTCAACCTAAATCCACAAGGTCCAGTTTAAAACTGTGCGTTACACCGTGCAGTAATGAGTGGCGGCACATGAGTTGTTGATACGGTAACTATATTCAGTACACCGACACTCATGTAACCCAGCAACTCTGTACCACTCAAACTCTGAGAAACACGGGGATAACATCTCGTATCTCTGTAGTGAGTGTCCGGTACTTGTGTGGTACATACCCCGTATCTGGAGTGGGAGAGAGAGAGAGGTCCGGTCTGTGTAATAATTAGCAATAAAACAGGAGATTGGAGGGTGTACTGATCCGCTACCTGGATCAAGTTAGGATGTGATAAAGAGAGATACCTCAGCAGGCACACTAACCTGTATGGTAGACTAAGTGTACGGTTCAGACCCGGTTAGCGTGTATTGGTAAGGGCTTTTCGTATCGGCTGATTGGCTGGTATGTTGGGCTCTCTCGGTTTTACACACTTAAACTTCAACCAGCAGGCTAAGGATTTGAGCTGTCCAATTTTCAGTTTTGAGCGACCTTGAAATGACGGGGAGGGAGGGCTCAGTTGCTCAGTGGTGTAATGGCCCTATTTTCAGACCAATGTTCTGTCTTATCGTCACTTATCAGTCAGATGACTCTATCTGGGGGCCAATGATTCCCTCCTTGTCGTGTCCCCGGGGGGGGGGGGGGGGGGGGGGGGGGGGGGGTTGTTAAGTTACATTCATACTCTTGAGAAAATAACAAGAAAATTACATAAACCTGTTGATAGTTGTTTAAGCGTGAAGTACTTGAAGTACGAGATTCAGGTCCATCTTGTTTAACAATATGTGTCCGATTGCCAACAATATCTTCCCTACACTCTATAACAGTTAGTAGAAAGGTCAGTTTACAGCCCGATTCTCCAACAATATATTCAGTATTGTTTGGTAGACAGTTTTAAGTAGAAAGTTACGATTTCCAACAATGTATCCTCACTTAGGTTAAGTGGAAAGTTAGGTAGAAAATTGAGATTCCCAACAATGTCCTCACTTAGGTTAGGTGTAAAGTTAGGTAGAAAGTTGAGTTTAGAGCCCGATTCCCAGCAGGTTGTGACAGAACTCTCACTCCTCGACTAAGAGAACTGTCAGCCAGAAAAATCTCACATTGTGTACTCAAGGACTCTCGAGTGTTCTTCTAACTCTCCCGGCCAACCAAGTCTTCATTTTCAAGGATAAATTCTAGCAAGCACGCCGGATCAGAACAGAGATGCCCGGCTTACTACATGACATGTTTTGTATTTGGTTATTAGCCGGATTTGAAGTTTAGATGACACTTATATATACGGTACTCAGAGGTATGCTGTTAAGAACATGGTCGGCACAGTAGAGATAATTCTGAAGGTTGAAGTAGCAATGAAATCCGTCTCCTGTCACCCTTAGGTTCTGTGTAGGGTCCGGTGTAGTGCTAGGTTTAGGAGTGAAGTTCCCTTGAAGTACGGTGTAAAGTTACTGCCAAGGTTCTGGTTCTCTCTCCCCCTCTCCCTCTCTCTCTCTCTCTCTCTCTCTCTCTCTCTCTCTCTCTCTCTCTCTCTCTCTCTCTCTCTCTCTCTCTCTCTCTCTCTCTCTCTCTCTCTCTCTCTCTCTCTCTCTCTCTCTCTCTCTCTCTCTCTCTCTCTCTCTCTCTCTCTCTCTCTCTCTCTCTCTCTCTCTCTCTCTTCCAAAGCCTAGTTCTCCTTCCCTCTTTCTCCCCTCCCGCCGCCCTCCTGTGGCACTACAGTGTATATCTGTGTGTTCACTTGGCTGGATTCCCTCAGTCACTGTGTACGTGATAGTTGACACTAAATGTGAAGTTCTACTTCTTGAATACTCGACCTTTATAAGATTACTGTTTACAAGGCCACAGTGCCTAATTTGCTGATGCATTCTTGAGGGAGTGCGAAAAATTCGCCACTTTACTCCATTGTATGTAACGAGTACACTGTACAGTCTAATAACTGACAAATTAAACTATTACCATCTATATTCTTAATTAATTAGGGAGATTTTCTTTCTGACAGCTAATTTGGCACATGAAAACTGCCCGACTTTAGCTGGTTATCAATCGGTCGCTGGTCTGTCACTAACTAAACCGGGAGCTACAAATTATCATACGTCTTGCATACCACAGAATATAATTATTATTTAAACAATTCTAACGTCTTTCTTACTTCAGGCTTCATGAAGAGAAGATGACAATTGAGGATTACATCTCCATCCTCCTATCCCAGGTAAATGCAGCAATCTTAACAACGTAATAAGTTTTAAAATATCCTATCCTAATTCCTAATTCGTATTAATAAGTACCACGTGACACAAATCGCGTGTCACTGACCACAGTTAAAGCTAACAAATTCCAAGCACCGCGAAATCGGAATTAAGGAAGCTGCAATAATCGTAGCTTTACCTACCTCGTCATCGTCGCACTGGAAACACAAAAGTAAATAGCTCGGGTATTCCCTTTGGGAATATATTGTATTATTAAAGTTATTATGCTAAATATTATGGGTATGTTTACATGTATTATATTCGGGGTGTTGACCGAATATTACTCTACCTTGGTATTTCACTTCGTATCAAGGCTCGTTTGTTGAGCGGGGACATTCTTTTTGGCTGGTAATTTTTTCATAAAATTGCCTAAAAAGGCAGACAGACTTTTAAAAAGTTTCATTTTAGAACCAGGTATTTCGGGTCGTTACAGTACGTCATGATTAACATAATATTATGTATCATATACGTGATATATACGGGTGTATTAAATATATAATCTAGTGCAGGTGTCGCATGTTGTACTCATACTGATAATTAGTGCCAGATATTTACTTTGAGTATTGTCCAGGGTTTTGGGTAAATAGATTTTCATATGATCTGTAGTTCAATGTTTTACAAAAGGAACTAAAATCTAAGAAAAAGTTACAACTAAATTTGCTTAATTAGCTCTCGTTCTCAGGTTTCTACATTATGTGGTTACCCCTGACAGATTCATCAATATTAATCGTGACTTTATTGAAATAAGCAACTCTAAAATTCAGAGAATTTACCGCCAAATGTTACCTCAGATTTTCAGCTGAGGCACAGCCCTGACATTATCACAATTCTTTCAAATTATGAAAATTAAATTTTACCCGATAGTTCTGCAAGAAATACGTATATCAAATTCGAAAAAAGATAAAATTTCAGCGAAAGTTTCGTTTCTCTCACCCTTATTTCATTTCTTTTCAATCGATGTTTTTAATTTAATGCACTCCTTACTCAAAAGCTGGCTTGGATGCGTGTAATTCGATTCCACATTCTATAACTTTCGTTTTCTTCGATTGAAATATCTACTCTAAGACCGATTTCGCATTCTATGAAGCCTTAAAGGGTTTATCGAGTCTATAGCAGATATTGTTAATTTTATAAGAGCTTACTGTAGCACACAAACAAACCAACATAACTTCCCAATTTTCGACTAAATTTTCCTTAGAAGTTTTGTTATGGACAAGTAAAATGAAAGTTTAAAACTAACCAGTTAATTAATTTCTCACAAATTAAACTTTGCAGGCCAATAAAGACGACGAAGAAGGGGAGGAAGAAACAGGCGTTGACATGAGAACAGTTCGCAGCTTTACCAGCCAACTTCTCACTAACTTCACCCCTCTACCCCACGCAGTGAGACTCAATCTCTTCCAGATATCACTCCCTCAAATAGTTGAGAGACTCTACGCTGGGCTATCTGACTTCTCCTTGACGTCCTATCTCATCATACTCACCCAGTTCACCTCTTATTCTGAGGACTCAGAACTGGAACTACAGGTACCTGAAACTCTGGTCGTCAGGCTAGGGAAGATTATCTGCAGTTTGATCTTCAACAGGGATTCGGTGAGCGATTGGGGTGGAGATATCGTGAAACTGGCTGTGAAGTTGTCGGTTAATCAGCATGTTATATTTAGGTATATTACCCAGCAGATGAACTTGGAAAACAAGCCGACTGCTATATTGTCGTGGTACCTGAAAGTAGCACTGAAGTTGCTGCAGAGTGGTCAGGTTTATAAGCTCGGCCTGGTTCATAAGTCGGGGGTTGATAAGTTTATGGGGCATTTGAAGGGGAGAGTATCTAAGAGGGAGTATCAGGAACTTGTTTACAGGATGGAAGATACTTTCAGTGTTATGTGCTGATACGTATCATGATACGTATCATGTTCGTGTAATGATAGGTTATCATGTTCGTATACTTTTAACTATGTACTTTTTGTTTCAATCTTGACTTTTTTTTTCAGTCTTGACTTATTTGGGGTAACATATTTTAATTTATTATGACATCTTTATAGGGTTTCAACGAATGATTTTGTTTTCTTTTAAAGAGATTTTTATATTTATTTTTGTTTTTTTCCCTGTCTGATGTTATCTAATTTATTAATTTCACAGTATCACATTCCACCACGTGTATTCTTATTTCCACATCATATTTCCACACATTGAGCAATTGTACTAGCCACTAGGCTACTTTTTGTACGTATGCTTGAAAGCTTGAAAGAGCCCTCCTCCATTACCGGGGGAACAGTTATTTTAGGTTCTAGAACCTTGGTTAGACAATAGCCAGGTTCCTTGTTGGGCATAATCTTTGTAACATAATGTTATTTTTAAGAGGGACAAAGTCCTTAATGTTGGACCAACATTTAAAGGACTTTGTCCCTCTAAAATATATAACATATCGGCTCATAGCACTTTTCGTGATATTCAGTGAGTTCTGCAGAAGGAAACCAGCTGCTGTTGCCTTTATATCATATTGGACAAAGCCTCTCACAGTGCCACCATTGTGCACTAGAGATTCGCTACTTTCAAACGATAGAAATCCAACAATTTATAATTTATTATTCTTGGCAGCAGTCTCGTACAAGAGGTTTTGCAGCTGCTGAGTTTTGCAACTATCTGTATAACAGTTGCTCTGCGCACATGATGTTAAGACAATCCTGTCTGGCACTGTATTGAAACCATCTGGTTCTCCTGTCTTGGCCGCATTATATGCTTACATATTTTCTGTGCATATATAACTATTATTACTCGTATTACGTGACATAATTTCAATTATAGAATATGAATTATGATACATTATGTATAAATATGCGAGCTGCTCTCTATTTCTAGCTCGTTATTCGTATTCCTGGATACGCTCCACTGACCTCTCTCTCTCTCTCCCTCTCTCTCTCTGCAACTTCTGCTTCTGCATATTTTATAATTGCATAATTATTATTAGTTCGTTTCAGGGCAAATATACGTGACCTGTCTGCACAGCCGCACATAATAACGAAATAATGCAACATATATTAACGGTGGAGTAGCAGTGTTTTGTTCTGAATAATATATTAATACTTGTCATTATCATAGTAGTATGCCAGATATATCTAGCTCTGTTAAGTATTCATATAAATCACGAAGGGTGACAGCATTATTGCATAAAATGTCCTGCTAGGCTAATACATGTGAGGAGATGAAATGATGTAGATTTACGGGGAAAGTGTCGCGTGTTCAGGCTGGTGGTGGTGCAGAGTGAGCAATCTCTGAGAGCTACTGTCTTTGTGAGAGGTGTCAGATTATGAGCTTGTGTGGGGTTGAATGGTTGATCTGGTGTGGGGTTGAATAGTTGATCTGGTGTGGGCCGGGGTTGATCTGGTGTGGGGTTGAATGGTTGATATGTGTGGGGTTGAATGGTTGATATATGTGGGGTTGAATAGTTGATATGTGTGGGGTTGAATGGTTGATATGTGCGGGGTTGAATGGTTGTTATATGTGGGGTAATCATGTTGTCCCATTGTGTGAGCCACATATTCTGAGTTCGTTACCAAGCTCGTAATGTTGATTCTGAGGAAAGCTCACAATTTGATTATAATCTCCCCCACTCTAAATACCCTGAGGCCTGATTCAGTACTTCGGCACTTGAAACCTCTTCAAACCTCCCCTGATTTATTTATTATTGATATTGTTTGATTGTGCCGTAAAAATAAATATTTGTTTTATTAAAAAGTAATTGTTACCAGCGTGAGTGGCCGAGCGGGGTGCGACACTAATAGTGGGGGTTTCACCACTGTGCAACTCACTTACCTAACAGAGAGAGGTGGACAGGGTAGTTACTTACTAACACAATGATACACAATACAACACTGTGTACTGTGAATATAAGACGCTATTTGTTCTGGGGAGTCAATGCACGCCAACACTGGCAATAACAGATGTATAGGCCATAGGGAGTGTACTGTGGTTCACTGACAATAACAGAAGTATAGGCCATAGAGAGTGTACTGTGGTACACTGACCTCTACAGAGTGAAGATAGAGAGTGTACTGTGGTACACTGACCTCTACAGAGTGAAGATAGGGAGTGTACTGTAGTACACTGACCTCTACAGAGTGAAGATAGGGAGTGTACTGTTGTACACTGACCTCCACAGAGTGAAGATAGGGAGTGTACTGTAGTACACTGACCTCTACATAGTGAAGATAGGGAGTGTACTGTAGTACACTGACCTCTACAGAGTGAAGATAGGGAGTGTACTGTAGTACACTGACCTCTACAGAGTGAAGATAGGGAGTGTACTGTAGTACACTGACCTCTACAGAGTGAAGATAGGGAGTGTACTGTTGTACACTGACCTCTACAGAGTGAAGATAGGGAGTGTACTGTGGTACACTGACCTCTACAGAGTGAAGATAGGGAGTGTACTGTTGTACACTGACCTCTACAGAGTGAAGATAGGGAGTGTACTGTGGTACACTGACCTCTACAGAGTGAAGATAGGGAGTGTACTGTAGTACACTGACCTCTACAGAGTGAAGATAGGGAGTGTACTGTTGTACACTGACCTCTACAGAGTGAAGATAGGGAGTGTACTGTTGTACACTGACCTCTACAGAGTGAAGATAGGGAGTGTACTGTAGTACACTGACCTCTACAGAGTGAAGATAGGGAGTGTACTGTAGTACACTGACCTCTACAGAGTGAAGATAGGGAGTGTACTGTGGTACACTGACCTCTACAGAGTGAAGATAGGGAGTGTACTGTTGTACACTGACCTCTACAGAGTGAAGATAGGGAGTGTACTGTAGTACACTGACCTCTACAGAGTGAAGATAGGGAGTGTACTGTGGTACACTGACCTCTACAGAGTGAAGATAGGGAGTGTACTGTGGTTCACTGACCTCTACAGAGTGAAGATAGGGAGTGTACTGTTGTACACCCACCTCTACAGAGTGAAGATAGGGAGTGTACTGTGGTTCACTGACCTCTACAGAGTGAAGATAGGGAGTGTACTGTTGTACACCCACCTCCACAGTTAAACTCAGATAGATTGTTACGCTGCCACGCTTACCAATTAGTGTCAGAAGTGTTGTGCGTATAGAACAGCAGGTATGTGTGTTTAGAGTTAGCATGCAGCTGTGTGGCAGGTTGTGCAGCGCTGAAGGACCGGGCGGATGTTCCCTCCAAAATGTCGACCCTCAGAGCGGTTCCCATTTCCCGGTTTTAAGTTCTTAAGTAAACCGGCGACTCAGTAAACAATACTCTGCCACCCCTATTAGTATGCTATATCTTCTCCACATACGGCCCACTCCCGCTCCTTCAATCAAATCACCGTATCTGGCCCACGTGCCACTTTTCCACCAATGAGAGCCGAGTATTAGGAATGTTTGTTCAGGCGGAGAGACCGAAAGTCGGCTGGGTTTACACACAACAACTCGTTCTGACTTCGGAAATAGAGGTGAAGTGCGCTAGAGGAAGTAGAGTGATCGCGCATCCTTGCTTGTTGGAGGCTTTGCTCTGTGAGCACTTTAGTGGGAACAGTGTCCGGGTTGAGACATTACTCTGTTCAGCTTGGCTAGGTTCGACAGTCCAGCACAGTCGTTGCAATGTAATGGCGGGCATTATTCCTAAGCCGTGCCGTCATTATGTATGTACCACACGACCTCATTTCTGGAATGTTAGCATTAAACGTAACGTTAATGCCGAATTTTGAGCCTGATTGCTTGGCTCAGAGAGAGAGAGAGAGAGAGAGAGAGAAGAGAGAGAGAGAGAGAGAGAGAGAGAGAGAGAGAGAGAGAGAGAGAGAGAGAGAGAGAGAGAGAGAGAGAGAGAGAGAGAGAGAGAGAGAGAGAGAGAGAGAGAGAGAGAGAGAGAGAGAGAGAGAGAGAGAGAGAGAGAGAGAGAGAGAGAGAGAGAGTGCCTTTGAGGGGTGTTGCGCAAACCCGGACACTATTTTCTCAATCTAAAGTGTTACATCAATAAAAGCTACCAACCGTTATTATTTCTGGGAAAGAGAGCGAGCACCACTCAGAGGTATTTTGTCTGAACGAATCGACTATTTACCGACTTCTAACTAAACGGAACAACTGTTCGACATTTACTGCTCTGGTTTTTGCAGGATTCATTTCATTTAACCAGTTTATTTGTGTTTTATAGCTCTGGTTCTTGAGCGAGTCAACGAAAACCAAAAAAAGCGTTTAGTCCATGGTGACAGCATATTAACTTGAATCGTTATAAAGATTACCTTTTAAGTCTAAATTTAACGCGAGGCCAACAGGCCTACACCATGCCCGACACTTTTGCAACATAAACCTCCATAACCACTATATATAATAAGCTGGGATAAACTCTTTTGATCTCATAATATTATATATATTTAACCGTTCTCTTGGTACCCCAACTCAACTTGCTTTCTTTGTGGTGCTTCACCTCTAATATTGGTTTACAGTGGCTTATTTCACTCCTCAAGATGTGATGATTTATAATAGGCACTAAACGGGCCACTGCGGTTCATTGTGTTATCTTATATTGTTGTGTCGTATTATTGTGTCGTTATTGTTATCGTTCCCTGTTATAGTGATTACAGTCACACTCAGGCGCACTAGAGCCTGTGAGAGACCACATACGATGTGGGCAGTTTCACAATTTAGAGTCCCAGTGCAAGTGTCCCACATAGGAGCAAATACGAGTGACAAAATGAAAAAGGTAGATAAGGAAGTTTGGATCACTCGCTAGCACCGTCCTTCCAGCACTAGAAAATAGCATGATCAGAGCTGAAAACGTTGTAGAAGTATAACCTCCGCCGGGGTTTTGTCAGTCTATAACATTGATGTAATGAATGGTAAGTTTGATCAAAACGGATAAAATGTATTATTCCTGTCTGTGAGTGTATTGCTCCTGTCTGTTAGTGTATTGCTCCTTCTGTGAGTGTATTGCTCCTGTCTGTGAGTGTATTGCGCCTGTCTGTGAGTGTATTGCGCCTGTCTGTGAGTGTATTGTTCCTTTCTTATTGCTCTTGCCGCCATTATTTATTGTTTTGCTTTTTGTTTATTCCTCTTAAGGTCGAATAGCAGTCCCAGAAAGTATGAGACTTACTCCAGAAAAGGATACTAAAGGGTACACTAAAGTGAGCTTACATATATCTTCAAACATCATTGCAATAAAAATATACGTGGTATACGTACAGCTGATCTCTACAAACATGTACACTGTACTACAGCGATTATATAAAATTGAAATGATCCGATAATGAAGCATTGCGTTAGTGTACTGTGATCCAGAAGGACTACTATTAGAGTTAGCACTGTAGAATTAAATTCTGACTTCACTGCGTGAAAGCCTCATTAAATCGTTAATATTGCCTGTATCAATTCTGTTCAGCGGTGTAAAATTGGATTATTTTCCATAGAACTGCGATGGTTCTTCCAGGCAAGAGCATATTGTACTCAATATTTCCGATACTAAGCTCCTGTTCATATTATGTCCAACGCTAGGGGCTGTGTTTACAGAATGTAAAAATAAAGCAGATATTCACTGTCCCTCTTATAGTAGCTGGATACAAGAAAACTTGGCTGACTGGTTTCATGAGATCTCATCACTAGTAATCGAAGTAGAAATTTAGTTGGTCTAAATCCTCGACCTCGGTTTTTTCATTAAGAACTGTACCAGTGTTCAGGTATTATGTTTCATGTCCACGTATTATATTAATCAGCTAAACGGTGATTACTGTTGTTTCTTGGTTCTACCATGTACTGTAACCGCGGATTTTCGTGAGATGTGAAGGACGAAGGTAGTTGTAAGTGATCTGTAAGTGATCTGTAATTGATCCGTATGCGGTTTCGTAGTTACCGTCATTACTTGGTAATGATTACCATGGTTACCATCATTACCAAGTTTCGGGTTCACCCCTTCTTAACGCATTACTAAATGTTCAGTTCCAGCCTTGTTCGCTGGTCAAGTGTCACTGTTTTATCACCCACACTCCCAACATTTCTGTGTAATCATTGTACAACTTACTGGTGGTATACACTGGTCGTATGCACGTTTACTATACACATATCTAGATGTACTGTGTACACTTCTATATTGATAAGACTCACGTTGCTGTAGTTTATAGTTCACGTGCTCCTGCTCCTTGTGTGTCCAGTAAATGACATCGCTACAGACGGCACTTAACCTGTTCCGCGCGTGGAAATAGCTGGAATAGTCCAAATAACTCAAATACCGGGTGTAAGTTAGGGTTACATGACGTGGATGTGTATCTACTGTCGAGGTCCTTCCTACCATTTTACCTTCCTAAACAGTTTAGCTCAACGTTAGCATGGATACCGGTCCTGGAGTGTGCAGACCTCTAGCATTGCCATGGTAACCTTGCTAACTACATATCATATCCAGTCTCATTACGTTCTACTTCTATCTACCCTCTTCTTTACAGGCGTTGTGTTATCTTTTTAGGGCTCACTGTTGTAATTATTTTTCTGGCTGCTAAATTTAATTTTTGCTACGGATCGACTCCATCTTTTCTCCCTACACATTAGCACAATATTCACATCCATACAAAGTAAAAAGCTGTTGTAATTGTTCATGTTTAAGCTCTAAATGATATTTAATCTCTCTCTCTCTCCGTTAGGTCCCCATGTCAAGGTTTGGGAACAGTGGCCATGACGACAGTCTCCTCAGTACCATGGCGGTGCGGCTCCGCAAGGTAGAGGAGGAACTGTTAACCAAAACCAAACAGTTAGAAGAGAAAGATAAGCAGCTGCATCACTTCAGAGTCAGCTTGAATGAGGAGAAAGCTAAAGACAGGCTGGTAGGTCACTTGCGGTCTCAGTGCGAGAGAGCGTTTCAAACAGATCCAGGAAATGGAGGAGTTTCTGGCGGATTACGGGATGGTCTGGGTGGGAGCCAGCGAGTCCCCTGACAACATTCCAGAAGAAACTGAGGAGGATTTAGAAGGGGAAGAGAAGAAGTCAGTATCGGTACAGTCGACGTGGAACCAGGAAGAGTCTGTCACTGACACGGCTCCAGACTACAACAAGATAGTCCACAATGTCCACGAGCTGAACATTCTAGCTGGAGATGGCGTGGGGATGGTGGAGAGAGGACCAGATGGGATCACCAGGGTGGTACAACCTGACCCCATACCTCTTACTCTTTACTCTAATGGTATTTACATGTTCCAGGGCCCTTTCAGACCCCTTTCAGAGCCCCAAACCCGCCAGTTTGTTCTGGATCTAGAGGAAGGCTACTTTCCCTCTGAACTGCAAAAAAGGTATCCTAACGGCATGGTTATTAAACTGACCGATCTTCGAGAGAAGCAGTACGTTGATAAAAGACAACAAGCTTCATTTGCGGGTAAGGGGAACCGTCTCTCTGAGGGAGCTAAAGAGCTGGCAGCTATCAGAGGATACAGTGAAGATGTGGACTCTGAAGATGTTGCTACTGATACATCAGACCCAATACAGAAACCTTCTCTCGAGCGTTTCTTGAACAAGCTTCCTCCAAACGTTATAAGAGATGGTAAAATCATTGACATCAGGGAATCAGTGAGTGCCATGGTGGGGAGCACTTCAACTCCAACTAAAGTCGAGGTAGCTGAGACAGCAGTTGTTAAGCAGATCCAAGCTGGAGAGGGCACTTCGGGGCCCGTGGCTACTCTCAGGGTCAAACTTGATGGGGGAACCAAAACATTGATAGTGAAACTACAGTACACAGACACTATCGGAGATTTGAGGGAATTTATCAAGAAACACAAATCGGGATTGTACGAGATCAGGACCACGTTTCCTAACAAGATTTTTAGTAGATTAAGTGAAAGTTTGGAAGAGGCTGGGCTTGTCCCCAGCGCTACTTTACACATCAGAGATTTGTAAATATTTACTGTTTTGTATCCAAATCAAGGAACTGGTCTGTGTATATTTCTTTAATTTATTAACCTGTATATAACAAAGTGATTTATATTATTTTATGTTTTATTTATAAAATTTAGTTTGTGATTTGAATGTCATATGTCATATTAAATTATTATCAGTTATATAGCCGTATATAGCATGCCAAATCAGTATTTTTATTTATTATTAGAGTTTGTGTAAGGGCATTGTAAATTTGCTGATGTTAGCTTTAAAAGAGTGATTTATAATTTAAACGATTTTCAGAGATATTTTATAACGTTCTTTTCCCGCATGTTTTCAGCCATAAAGATCAATTTTATTGGTACTCGGTACATTTGATTTAGTAGAAGTTGAATTTTAGCTACTGTACTTGGAATAATCACAGATTTTATGACGTCATCATAATATTATATCCTCCCAGAATCGAGTTGAGCGATTCTATCCAAGTTTATGAGTATGACGTTAATAATGATTTTCTTCGCTTCACAACTTTTTATAAGATTACCTTTTACAGATAAAAAGATGTTATCAAGATGTTATCTCATCAATATTTGATCTCATGACCTCGCTATATGCCAAACGTTCTCTAAGAAAATAGAGTGCGGTGTAGGATTTGATTGCGGCACATGCCACCACGATATGGCGATTATATTGAGAAGGTGTCTGCCTAGTTTATATAAGTCATAATACACACCTTGAGCGTTCAGTGTGAGAGAGAGAGAGAGAGAGAGAGAGAGAGAGAGAGAGAGAGAGAGAGAGAGAGAGAGAGAGAGAGAGAGAGAGAGAGAGAGAGAGAGAGAGAGAGAGAGAGAGAGAGAGAGAGAGAGAGAGAGAGAGAGAGAGAGAGAGAGAGAGAGAGAGAGAGAGAGAGAGAGAGAGAGAGAGAGAGAGAGAGAGAGAGAGAGAGAGAGAGAGAGAGAGAGAGAGAGAGAGAGAGAGAGAGAGAAATAGCGCAGGCAGTCGTCGGATTGAATTAATTTGGTTCCTTTCTTAGTGTATCTATAACAATCGTCTTATACTCAAGACAAGCTTTCTACTTGACTTTTCATGTTGAGAGAGAGAGAGAGAGAGGGAGAGCGAGAGGGAGAGGGAGAGGGAGAGGGAGAGGGAGAGGGAGAGGGAGAGAGAGAAGGAGAGGGAGAGGGAGAGGGAGAGGGAGAGGGAGAGGGAGAGGGAGAGGGAGAGGGAGAGGGAGAGGGAGAGGGAGAGGGAGAGGGAGAGGGAGAGGGAGAGGGAGAGGGAGAGGGAGAGGGAGAGGGAGAGGGAGAGGGAGAGGGAGAGGGAGAGGGAGAGGGAGAGGGAGAGGGAGAGGGAGAGGGAGAGGGAGAGGGAGAGGGAGAGGGAGAGGGAGAGGGAGAGGGAGAGGGAGAGGGAGAGGGAGAGGGAGAGGGAGGGGGAGGGGGAGGGGGAGGGGGAGGGGGAGGGGGAGGGGGAGGGGGAGGGGGAGGGGGAGGGGGAGGGGGAGGGGGAGGGGGAGGGGGAGGGGGAGGGAGAGGGAGAGGGAGAGGGAGAGGGAGAGGGAGAGGGAGAGGGAGAGGGAGAGGGAGAGGGAGAGGGAGAGGGAGAGGGAGAGAGAAAACATACAAGATGAATAAGCAGAGTTCTCCAGAACAGTGATTAGATCTGCTAACGTGAAGAAATAGCGCGCTGCACAATATTGAGCAGTGTGGCACAATACTGAGCAGTGAGTGTTTGTGTTTTCAGTGTGGTTGCTCCTAACATGCACACTGTGTCGAACTCAACTAATCTAATGATTGGAATGTGTGGCCCCCATTTTAAAATGATATATTGAAGATAAGTATCTACAGAATGTCCCTATTATATCTGTGACTCTAGAATATACTCCTTTATTATTATAAATATGACCCTATTTTCTCAGTATGTACTAACCCTCTGTTTGTTTCCCAGATAGGGTGATGAGTCAGAGTAATGGTAACGGAGCAGAGGACGCCAGTTCATCAGACCAGGCCGACTCTACAGATCTTCGGTTCAGATACCGGAAGTTGTTGTTCCAGACAAAGGAGAAGCGGAGTGAGCTGGTCCGTCCGGAATCTACCGGATTACTGGAGACTCTGGAGGAGATGAACGTTCTGTTTAGTAGAGTGAAAAACCCGAGAGAGGCGGTGTATGACAGCAATGTTTTAAAACTCACGTCAGAACTGGGGTTAGAACAGGCAGATAATCTTCAAACCAACATGACCGTGTTTGATAGGAACATATTCGCTGAGAAACTTGTTACTTTTATGGATGGTAGATGTAGAGGGTCTCAGAGAGAGAAGCCGGAGCTGGACTGGTCCAAACTTGGCAAATACGCTGCTACCATGTTCAATGTAACAGCTAAACTTGATCTGATATACGGGCCCTTAGCCATGGAATCAATAGCCAAACACCGGGCTGCTCGAGAGAGGAATGTACAGAGAAAACCAACTGAAGCAGAGAAGAAGAAACCTCAGCAACTCCAACAAGAGGAGCAGGAAGAGAGCACGACTAAGGAAGTTCAGAGAGTTCTTAAAGCAATCCACAAACTAACCGACCCCGACCAGGGTACTTATAAACACGTGCCGTTCTTTGAGTTTATCACAGATCCAACCTCCTTTCCTACCACCATAGAGAACATGTTTCATCTTTCTTTCCTCGTTAAGGATGGCAAGGTTAAACTTTATCTGGATGACGATAACACGCCCGTTGTGAAGATTGATGTTAACAATGGAGCTGTTACCAGCACTCCTGGTTCCACCAGAGCGGTCAATCCTTCCCAGGTCGTTATATCCATGACAATCCAGAAGTGGAATGATTTGATAGATGAGTTTAATATAACGAAGGCTATGATTCCGAATATCAAGAGGAGAGGAAAGTAGCGCCGAGTTTTTCATTCAGAAGTTTGTTTGTTTGTATCAGAATATGATCCGTTATTGGGGTGGCCGTTTATTCTCTGAAGAATGACGGTGGAATTGTACGATAACATTGTTTCTTTTTAATAATAACTCTATTTTAATTTGAATTTATTTTCAGTTAGTGCTCTGCTTTTTTTCTTAACTTATTTTATTTACAAGTTGATGCTCTGAACACGTACTACTACCCGACCTCGCGGGCACAAACTTTGATTAAAAGTGACGATATATTCCCATTTTGACCAAAGACCTACAGCTCTCGGGAGATAATCACTTTTTAATGATATTTTAACTGTGATAGAATACCCGCTATGTTTAAAAGGTTTCCCTCTTAAAACATACCACAGATTTTTAGCACTCTGGCAGGTGTAGAATATTGGTTTAGTTTCTCTGTTTGAGAGTTTGAGTAGCAGACCTTTCTACCATTCTAGATCCTTGTTTGATGACACTGTTTGTTATGTCGTCGGGTTCTACCTAGGCTCGAGATTGTTGGATATTACCTTATTTGGTTGTGTTACCATGGTAACATTGCCTTTATATGGTTTTGTAATTGTATCCGAGAAGGTATTATTTTATGTAACTATCAAATTCACACGGCCCATCCTTATGCTGTCAGATGAACTTGGCTTGTTCCAGCTGTAAACTCGAAGGCTGTGAAGCTCGAAACAAATTGACATGTTGCCGAGAACGTACCTTTCCGAAATTAGAAGGTCGATGTAACAAAATTGTGCCCAGACATAAGAGTTTGGAATGTAGCTGGTCCTGAGTTGCACTGTAACACTGCTCCGCACTTGCACTGTAACACTGCTCACCACTTGCATTGTAACACTGCTCACCACTTGCACTGTAACACTGCTGCCCACTTGCACTGTAACACTGCTCACCACTTGCACTGTAACACTGCTGCCCACTTGCACTGTAACACTGCTGCCCACTTGCACTGTAACACTGCTGCCCACTTGCACTGTAACACTGCTCACCACTTGCACTGTAACACTGCTGCCCACTTGAACTGTAACACTGCTCAACACTTGCACTGTAACACTGCTGCCCACTTGCACTGTAACACTGCTCACCACTTGCACTGTAACACTGCTGCCCACTTGAACTGTAACACTGCTCAACACTTGCACTGTAACACTGCTGCCCACTTGCACTGTAACACTGCTGCCCACTTGCACTGTAACACTGCTCCCCACTTGCACTGTAACACTGCTCCCCACTTGCACTGTAACACTACTCACCACTTGCACTGTAACACTGCTGCCCACTTGAACTGTAACACTGCTCAACACTTGCACTGTAACACTGCTGCCCACTTGCACTGTAACACTGCTCACCACTTGCACTGTAACACTGCTCACCACTTGCACTGTAACACTGCTGCCCACTTGAACTGTAACACTGCTCAACACTTGCACTGTAACACTGCTGCCCACTTGCACTGTAACACTGCTCCCCACTTGCACTGTAACACTGCTCCCCACTTGCACTGTAACACTACTCACCACTTGCACTGTAACACTGCTCCCCACTTGCACTGTAACACTGCTCCCCACTTGCACTGTAACACTGCTCACCACTTGCACTGTAACACTGCTCCCCACTTGCACTGTAACACTGCTCACCACTTGCACTGTAACACTGCTCACCACTTGCACTTTAACACTGCTCACCACTCGCACTGTAACACTGCTCACCACTTGCACTGTAACACTGCTCACCACTCGCACTGTAACACTGCTCCCCACTTGCACTGTAACACTGCTGCCCACTTGCACTGTAACACTGCTGCCCACTTGCACTGTAACACTGCTGCCCACTTGCACTGTAACACTGCTGCCCACTTGCACTGTAACACTGCTCCCCACTTGCACTGTAACACTGCTCCCCACTTGCACTGTAACACTGCTGCCCACTTGCACTGTAACACTGCTCCCCACTTGCACTGTAACACTGCTCCCCACTTGCACTGTAACACTGCTCCCCACTTGCACTGTAACACTGCTGCCCACTTGCAGTGTCCCTGTAAGTGTCGAGAGAGGAATACAGAGTGTGTACAGTTTGGGCTCTTACCTCACCCTCCCTGCAGATCCCTCCTCCCAGCCCTGAATTGACCCCGACATTGCCCAGTTTAAAAGCTACTGATGACCCGTCATCTTTACTTGACCTGTAGTCATCATTACCACGGGGACAGTTAGCCGGGGAGGGGGCCAGGTGTTGGACTGAGAACCTGCTACTACTCTACCTGATCTGTCCCCTCTCTCAATTGCTATTGCTTATCTAGGTGACAGGTAACGGCCAATATATCAATATGTTTGAGCCTGGGTAGTAATATATTACCGAGATAAACGGTCCTACGGAGGGGGTGGTGTGTTACCTAAGGTTATATACTCATCCTCAACCTGATCTACTGGTTTGACACATTCTCCGCGTTCTTGATTGATATCTATAATGTTATTTGATTTTTAATTTAATTGTTTTACCCTTTTTTTATAACGAACATTGTACAATGATCTGGCGTGTGTCACTGCTTTTTAATGATTCAAGAAACAATCTCTGAGAGATGGTGGTGGTTCGCTCACTACAAAATTTGGCCTTGTTTGATCATTGTTTCAACACTCATCTTTGTCCCCATTATGAGTGTGTCAGCTAATGAGCCCCATTCACACGAGATGGTGACTAATAATCTGTTCTATGTTAGGGCCTCCTTTACTCCTTTATAATAGTGCTTTAGTTTTAATGACAGAGCTCCATGAACTAATTGCCCCTTAACGGAGCCAAGAGAGCTGTAGATGCAACGGAAATAGCTCTTTTTTCCAATATTAATCGCTTAAATGGAATGGCAATTGGTATTTTGGCATCGAGCTGATCGTGTTGAGTAATGATGAGCAGAAATTAAATGGGCCCAACCATTTGTGATGATTCAGTTGTTTTATAATCACTGAAAAGAAAAATCTTTTACGCGGAAAGTCGGGCTGTTTTCCAAATATGCCTAAAATGAAACTCCTTTTTTAAGACCGATGATGAAAATGTTTCTCCGATAATATACCACAAAATGAAATTGTTTCTGTAATACCGAAAGTGAAACTGATCCTCTCTCTCTGACTAGGTCCATGATAGATGGGCTGGGCTCTCCGTACGGTAACGTAATAGAATACTCTGTAGAAGTAACCGCTTGCTCGCTGGCGCCTCTCTGTTCTGATTCGACCATGAAGGGAACTGAGAACGGTGACACTACTCCTGACATAACTCTTACCAATGGGGTTAGTATTTAGTTATTATAAAAGTTCGATTTATAGTATAGCAAAAATTACACAATCTTTTATCTTTTAAAGTATTTTAATTTTGGCACAAAATTCATGACTTAGTAGATCCCAGAGCCCAACTTCGCTTTACGTTACATTATTAGTATAAAGTTTAGTGTGTAATATGTGGATGTTATATTGTAACGACTGGCCACTGCATTTGGCTACATCTTATTACTTTATTGTCAGTTGAAATTAGAATACGGAGAACTGGTAACGTGCGGCTAAATACAGCAGAGATCACACTGATTTTATTAGTCAACGTGTTTAAAGAATCTGATGTTTGCACTTTCAATCTCTTGGTTAAGCTGGGAGCTGATGAAATGTAAAATATGCTGATTCCTTTCACTGGGCAGCTGGTTCCATTCTACCCGCGTTCATCTGAAATCTTTAGAGATCTCATCTTTTAACTGACCCTTTAGAGGCTTAAACTCGATAATTTCATATTCAATAAAAGGTATAGTCCTTGTTTATGACCCTTGAACTTTAGTTACTTAGTTTTCCTTTTGTCTAAATAACTAAATATGAGGTGATAATGAAATCTCATAATCTGAATCCCAACATCAGGACTAGTCTGTTTTGATATACCAGTAGACCTATCTGAACTCAAAAGACTTGTAAACTGTAATCTCACTCCCGACTAATAATCTCGTTTTGTCTCAATTTCAAATTTTCCCAGACTTTATCGCCCGTTCCACCCAGCATACTGACACTCTGGAGTACTAATCATGGCAGCTCTTAACTTAATTAGTTTCCCCACTAATTACTAATTACTTAATTTTTTCCCCACTAATTACTAATTACTTAATTTTTTCCGCTCTAGTTTTAATCGGGTTTCTATCTTGTACCGTGCAGGTTCCAATTGTAATTAAAGCCACTACTGAGTCCTGGTAGTGTGTTGTTCATATCTTGTTTCAGAAGTTTCCGTCATCCATATTCTGGTCGTAGAGCTGAAGTTCATCCAGGTTAATGTAACATCTTATGAGATGTGGCTGGCAACTTTTTTACTAATCCCAGCTCATCTCCCATTAATATTCAATCTTCCATCCAAGTATGTCGAGGAACATATTTTATTCGCCGGTCTCCAATGATTGTTATACTGCACCAAGTTCATGGAAGGCGTTAATAGTTTTAATTTTGAGTTCATAGAAATATTTTATAGTTTAATTTACCCCTGACCCTTGACATGGGAGGGATTGGTCCTTAATTTCATTTTGATTTGAAGTTCATGGAAATGTTTAATAGTTTTTATTACTTACTTCTAAACATGTTCGAGACAGACAAAAGGTCCGTTACGTTATCATTAAGAATGTAAGAATAGCTGATTTAATCATTCCGTGCTTTTCTGATTATTCAGCGTCCTTCTGGCTCTAACTTTTTCATCAATTTTATCCTGCAATTAAAAACAATACTCTATTTACTGAGCATATTGTCTGAGAGTTACTGTGTTTGGATACTGTTGTTGCTGCAGCTTAGTACTCAGTTTGCAGTTTATGATATATCTTTAAGCTGCTTTAGCTCTCTTTATATATTATAGAAAGTATAAGAAGTTGCGGTAAGTCTCTAATAGTTATGCAGTATAAAGGCACGGATTATAACCAGTTTTATCCACTCATAATAACATCATCAGTGGTCTGTGCAGAACTGCAGTATGTACATACTATTTTAGAACAGATTCTGAACTAGAGAGATGCTTATCATAAATTCTGGTGGATATATTATCTGAGTGCAGCTCGGAGATCGATTGAGCGTACTATGCTAGCGTATTCAATATTGTACCACAATTCCCATGTCTGCAAAAGTAAAAGTAGTATATCAACTCTAGTACATATTATATTGTCGTTTAAAGAACATATCTACATAAATAATCATCATAATAATAGCATATGTCAGCATATGATGGTGAAAGCAGTGCCAAGTATCATAAATATGTTATATATAAGTTATATTTAGGAGTGCTAGTAGCGCAGTATGCTGTACTGGGACGATTTGATTTATTCACGACCGACTCCTAGTAATGATTCTAACTAGCTATTTAAATACTTACGTCATGAAATCGAGTCTGTTCAAGACACACTTAAATGACTTTAAATTGAATTTAAAATTTTGGTATTTTCGAGCTATTATAATTTATTTATTTAATTATTTCAACCTGCTAAACTTTAACTTTATTCAGGACTCTGCACATTCACCTCAAAATGGAGAGGTAGGAGAGGAGGAGGAGGAGCTGCAGAAAGAAGTGGACAGATTGCAAGAGGAGAATAAGATTCTCAAGGTAAAATATTTCCTTGTGTTTCATGTTCAGTTTACTTGCTATCAAGGTGAAATATTTCTGTGCTTTCTTTCCTTTTTGAAAAATTTCCTAGAAAATTCGGCCTCGATTGTCCTGATTTTAAGGCTTAATTTATCGTATTATCCGAATGCAGTTAAAAACTCCGTGAATGTTAAGATTTGATTTTATATCCCAAAATAGCTGCATCCAAAAATTGTTAAAAAGTTGTGACCACAGAAAACGCGACTTTATAATGTGTCGTAAACTTTAAGGGCGTGGCCGGGTCATTAGTGAGACATCTCATTAAAACAGCTCAAGCTAGCTCCGTTTGACCGGTATTATAATATAAGAGTGTCTTTTTACAAACACTCCCAGCTTTTAACACACCCAAATGTTTTAGAAGAAACAGCTACGAGACAAGATAGAAGTGTTGCGAAGAGAGAATTGCCGTTTAAGAGCTCAGATTGAAGCTGACGAAGCTGCTGCAAATGCGGAGCCGAGTAGCTCAACTAATGGGAATAGTGAGAAGATTGCTATAGTCCCTATGGGAGATGAAATGAGTGAGTAATAATTTATAATTTGGTCGACCGCAGTCGGGGAGCCGATTTCCCTGTCTAATTGCATTTCGGCCACGGTCCTTTCGGTACAGATTTCCCTCCAAGCTCTATTTATTGTTTAATCTTAGTCTGAAATAGTTACAAATATCTTCCAATTTCAGAGTCTCAGAGCTTCATCTTCACAAGCTCTAACGGCGGTACTCTATACATAAAACCGCTGGACCTCTCAGCTGGGGACCTTGAGAAAATGTCCCTGGACGGTATCATAGACTCCATCGGAGATATGGACAACTCCTACACCTACGCCATGGGAGGTTGGAGCAAGCCCATCAGTCTCAATAGTCTCTACAACAGAGAGAAACACACACAAACCAATGGCTCCCAAACCCCGCCACAGTACGAATATATATCCCCTCAACCCTACCACGTTACTCCACCACATTCCAGCAAGAGCAAGAAGAATGCCAACAATTTCCCGCCCCTCAACAAGTGTGGTACGATGACCACGACGGAGGATCTAGAGGCACGGCGATTCGTTCAGGAGTTCAAAGCGCGCAGAGTAGCACACAAGCTGACCCAGTCTGATATTGGTGAGCGCTTAAACAGATGTACTGGTGCAAGGTACGGTCAGAGCTATATCTCTCGGCTAGAGAGCATGCAACTCAGCACTGCAATTGTGCTGCGCATGAAACCTTTGCTGAACAGACTGCTAGATGAAACAGAGAATGGAATGTTCGCAGAAGGGCTGGAAAACATGGAACTCTACCACCCTCCAACACGCAAGAAGAGCAAAAGTAACAGTGGAGGAAGCAAGTCACGCAAGTCCAAAACTCCCAACTATCAGCGTGAGATTGACGGTCAGGCACCCCCGCTCAAAACACCATATCAGAGATCAGCAAGCGTGCCTGCGGGGAGCACGAACATCGCTAACTGGAACTACCAAGTCCCACATCACCACAATCTTGGCAACATGCCACCCACAACCTACCAGGAGCAAGGCAACAACTTCTTCATCTCCGGCGTGCTGAGCTCCCTGAACCCTGGCGTCATGACGACGCGCAGCGACACCGGTTCCTCCTGCAAGGTGAGCGACCCGATGGAAGTTGCTCTATCCCACTCCCAACTGTACAACCCCTACAGGATGCCTGACCTTGTGGAACCCAAACACGAGGTTATAGAGTTGAGTCCAGTGCAGCCGCGTCCACCTCACCCATCACCTGCTGGTTTGTTGCCTGGTGACGAGAACAACATGCAGCGTCACCATGACAACATGCGCCGTCCCGCGCAGCAGCATGATAACATGCATCACCAGATGCCAACTACCACACATTCCTTCAGTCCCAACCTACACGAGCTAACTGCCACCATCAAGAATGAACCCCAGATAACCACCCTACAACCACCTCTAAAACCTGGCTGATCGCCAGGACACGTGACCTAGTCACATGCTCAGGACTCTGTTTCAGCTCGCTAGACTGAAAGTGAAAGTGAAAGATATTTACAGAGTGTTATTACTCCCGCACCCTTTTTTTAATCGTGGAAGGTACACAAGCTCAGGTGTGTGTATAAGTGTGTGTGTTCACTGGCCGTACTAACACTGATTTTATTTTAAAATCGTAATAGGGGCTGCAGTGACTGTATTGTTGATGCGATATGATGATAAGAGCTGGTGACTGCGGCAGTATTATAATGGTATACATTGGAACGATGTTGTGTTGGAGTGTGTCACGTGACCGCCACCTACTGTGTAGTATTGCACGTGACATTAGAGATGTGACCTTGGCAACACTGACACGGATACAATATAATCCCCCATAAATTATTCTTTATGGTCTTACTAGATATTTTCAATATAACCGTCCGAGGACGAGTCTTATTTTCTTGAATTTCAGTTTTGTTCGTTGAACGATATTAAAACTGCAGCCTTAGTGCTAAGGGTGGGCTCCGTTTTAAGTGGCTACTCCTGAAATGGGTTAGTTAGTTTTGGGATTCTGTTTTAGTTCGGTTTGATCTTGCGACAAGTTAAATAACTACATAATCGGTTCAAAGCAATATACTTTGCAGATATACACTTTGCAGATAAAATAGTTTGCAGACACAATATTGCACTATTAATCATAATTATCTACATTGCTCCTTGTACTTAATACTAGTAAAGAATTGACTAAATTGTTGCTCTCGAACTGGCTTAATCCTGGAATCTCCAAACTGGCTAACCACAACTCGTGTGACCCAGTAATTTTACAGCACCGTTATTTCCTGAAAAGAGATTATTATTCCGATATATATTATCATCGTCACGTTCAAGTGTGATGTGTTGTGTTTAAACTTGTAACATCTGGTTTGTGTGTTGCTTTGTCTACAACATCATTGAATTGTTTTGCATTAATTTATTAACAAGTTTTAAGGAATTTTTGGTGATCACCTTCGAGTCCAAGATCTGAGATCTGAAATTTATGTTTCCTCACTGTGACATTGTGACAAAATTTAGCTGGTAATTTTGGGTAAATACGTTGTTAAAGCATGAGTTCCTTCAGCTCCATCGGATCGATTATTTAAAAGATATTTTATAATGGAGTGTGTGTGCAAGCTAAGTGTACGATACACTGCAACGTATCGCTCTTTAATACTGCTGATAGTGTCTAATGATATGTGTGCGAGATGATGGCGAGTTGTTCACATGTAGGGGGCAGATAACATGCACTCTTCACACTCTCCAACTACACTCAGCTTCACAACCACCGACTACACGGCCACAGCTCATTCCGGCTACATTATCATGTTCATTCCTGCTACATTATCATGTTCATTACTACAACATTGTCATGTTCATTCCTGCTACATTATCATGTTCATTCCTGCTACATTATCATGTTCATTCCTGCTACATTATCATGTTCATTCCTGCTACATTATCATGTTCATGATCATATTTCTGAAGTCATAACTACGTTAAATTATAAAAGTGTTTACCGGTTCGAAAACTACTTTTTGGGATGATCGGAGGCTTTAAATTTGGACGTTTTGGACTCGAAGAAAGATAGTAAGTGTTGAAAGTTATGAATCTGGTTATTGGTTACATAATGATAACAAGGCAGTGGGTTTCGAGGCAATATTGTTTCCTGATACTTATTACAGCCTGATTTACTGCAGTATTTTTAATCCCCCGAATGTTTTATCAGTGGACCACTATTTTAAAAACTATGTGATTGCTTGAACTTTCTTTTAAAAATTTTAGTTATTGATTTAAAGAATTTTTTATTTTGTAGGAAAAGTGTTGAACACACCATATTAATTAAGACACTTTTTATAGCTTTATTAAGATGCTATTTCTAAAGAAATATTTCTTTTCTGAGAAAATTTATTTTATTACAAAATGCTAATTCGCAAGTTTGATCACTAATGATAATGTCCATCTTAAATTATGGTACAGTGTTACCACCACAGTACTGCATGCAGATATATATTGTAATAATACACTATTGGATTGGTCAACCTGACTTCAGCAGGGAAATTAATCTCTTGCAAATAAAGATATTTTTGAAAGTTTGACCTATCTACAAGATGTATTACCTCTGGAGTACGAGTTTACATATACATACAAACATTAAGAGTCACGACCTTTGATTTTTCAAAGGAGGCCCGGTTACAGTTATATTCAAGTCATTTAATTGGCAACGGAAGTTTGGTAATCGGGCGTAGAATGTAAGCAATTGCTACAACTCTTCAGCAGCTTGTTATATCGTGACTTGTTCCATTTTTAGCAGCATTCCAATGTTAATTTCTTTTATAAAAGATGATCCTTTTTACTTGGTTGACGATTGATCGGTGAGATATTCCGTGTGTAAGAAATTTGGAATATTCCTGGCTTGAAATTGTCGTTTGTGGACGTACATGAGTTGTAAATACAGCAAGACAGACGTTCTGTTTTTTACCTGATATTTCGGAAAGGAAATTAGACCAGCGAAGTGTTGACATAGTTCGCCTCTACCCCTAGATGCTAACCGATCAGACAATTTGGCAGCAATTCTCCGTGTTATGGTTACGCGCGGAGAACTATTTCAAATAAAGAGATCATCCTTTCAACATTATCTTGAGACGCGCATATGATATGCGCGGCTCTTGTCGCACATGTAGCTTAGCTTCGCAAGTTTATATTGTGAATCGAATTATCATAGGGCAGATTGAGCATTTTAACCATATGCCATAGTATATAGGGGGGTGATTCGGAATCAGCGTCCGAAAATACATTGCGATTGAAGTTGGTTTCAACTGTCGGGGGCCCTTAAGGGTCGTTCACATATTACGTAATCAGGGGAGGGGGGTTTCCAAATGCTAACGGTTGATTACGGGGGGGGGGGTTCGGCCGTTGATTACGTAATCAAAATTCTCTTTTTTACGCTCTAGAATAATAACAATTTGACAATATTTTAATTCAAATTCCACTCAATTTCACTCTGATGTCTAATAGTGATCAAATTTAGAAATTGATCGAATATCCGGCTATAATAGTAAGTAGTTTAGAAGGTGCTTGGCCGGATATCATAACAATGATTTCGGCTCATCATGATAGCATGATCAGGGTAACATGAAACGTAGAGAAAAGTGTTTTCTAGGGGAAAAAACAAGGAGGGGTCAGGCCATGATTTTACCTGGCCTATTATGTTCATTAATAAATAGAGATTCGGCGGAATGACAGGCTGAGCGCGGCCCAGCCCAGGAAACCTTACTGGTAGGGGCCTAACTTTGGAAGTAAAAGAAATAGAAACGTCTGGTTTTCAACAAAATGTTCGCCTTGTAAAAATAACGTTTCCCCCCAGGGGGAAACTTAAAAACAACGTAGATTTTGAATTATCGCGAAAAGTCATATTTTAGGCCTTATAAAACTGCGCAGCTATAACTTTGCAGATTGTTGTTCTCTGATTGGCTGAATCGTATCACGTGGTACGCGGTACAATTGCATCTTTGGAATGTTTGAAGCGTGCAACTGCAATGAACTTACGAGCGCGCGCCGAGCTCAACAAGCTTTGAAAAGGCGATCACCCTGTAGTAATATTGCTAGCCAGTAAGGTTTGCTGGGAGTAAGCCATGATTACGTAATATTGCTATCAGGAGGGGGGTTGGGTTTTGATTACGGTTGATTACGGAAGGGGGAGGGGGTAAAAATTGCTATAAAATATTGATTACGTAATATGTGAACGACCCCTTATAAAACAATCTCGAAGATCGACTGTAAAGTGATTTAGCACGCTCACCCTTTGTAGCGCGATGCACTACTGGGCCGCGCCGCGCATCCATTACCTGAGGACCCCAGGCTATTATGTTCATTAACATAACCGAATAAAGATTTGGCGGAATGACAGGCTGAGCGCGGCCCAGTAACGCATCCAATAATGCTTCTCGCACCCAATAATGTTTATGCAGATCGGCGAAATGCGAAGGATTGATATCGTGAATCAAGCTCGCCCTAAACAATCGAATACGTGTTTGTTTAATATTATATAACTAAGTATAGCCTGTTACGTGACCAAAACATTTGTTTGCCCATAACTCTAGCCTGTAATGCAGGGAAGCATCTTCACCCTACGTGATTCGGAATCAGCGTGCAAAATGTAAAATAAGCCAAATTATATTATTTTCGTCAGAAATTAAAAAATTTAATTTGGGCGAGCGATTTAGTGAAAGCGCAATGTAAATATTGTACTTTCAAATTTTAGTGCGAGGAAAAAGTGTAATTAATGTTGTGTCAGCTACTGCAGCATTTCATTTGTAGGTTTACAACCTACCAGGTCACCAGGACGCGCGTTGTCATACGTTGTATGACCCGCCGCGCACGAAGTGCGCGGCTCCCCCTGTATCGTCGAAGACTATAGTGAAGCGACAGTGGGGGTCACCACGTGATACAAGACGCGCGCCGAGTTGGACTCGTCGACGGTCCTGGAACAGATATTTTACGAGTATCACCCGTTAACATTTCATTGGCATGGTTCCGGTAATTCATATATTAAGGTGAAATATATATTTCTTCTAGATACATTTTCTTCTAAATAAACTATTTTGTATCTATTTGATAAATTATTTAGAAAAACATTGACGGATGTTACTTGTCTAAATTTCTTCGAAGTAGCGCGCGCCGCTTTCTTCTCAAGAAAACAACAAATTCAAGAAAACAACAAATTTTTATTTAAATCAATTATAGCAACAATTTGAAAAACTTTAAAGCTCTTCTATTACCATGGAATATACTACGGGTATGGTGACTTGGGCTATTGAGTTGTTAAGTAGATTAAGATTAGTAAACCTGCACTTGCATTGTATATTTTATAAAAACTAGAAATTAGGCTTCACGGTAAAATGGAGAAGCAGGCTGATCTTGGAGAGAGCAGACCGTAAAGTTTACGCACCCACCAGGGCTACCTACCTACCCCAGTTGTTCTTTTTGGTTTATCAGCTTGTATTGTTATATTTATGGACCCCAAGTCACCACACTAAGAAGGAGTATGTAAAAAAATAATAATAATAATAATAAATTAAGTTAATATCATCATATCTGTTTAAAACAGTAAAAGTCAATCTGAGGATTGACTTTCCTAGTTAATTTAAAGGTTCAAACGTTTCGGAATATAATAATGTTGGTATTTGTATCTGCTGCAGCAATAATATCGAAATATCATTTGTCTAGAAAATTTTCGCCACTTCAATAGATATTGGGTCGGCAATTTGGTGAGTGAGTGATGAGATGGTTTGGTCTGTGATTGAGTGAGGGGCGATGTGAAAGTTGTGGTAAGTCCAGGTGTTATTATTGTTGATGGATTGAGATCCAAGGATGATACTTTTACAGCGTAATTTAACCAAAGATACAGAAGTAGTGAGGATTTCCCCATTCTCATTTAGAATCCGTTTATGTATGCTATTCCACAATTTGGAGGCTATATCAAGAAACGTGTTGGTTTTTCTTGGGAGGATTATGACATTGCTTGTATCACGTTTTGATGAGTCTATAGTACAATACAACGAGTATGGAGTGCGAAATTTCATAATTCGAAATATCTCAGATATACAGTGGTATTTGTACAAGTTTTGAACAGTAAGCAATTTTAGTCGATTAAAAATGGGCTTGGTGTGCTCTTTTTCGAAAAAAGCAGCTCCTAACCTCTGTTTTGTATAAGGTCTGGCTCGTGCACAAGTGGCATGTTTGTCGAGGTATGCATTTAGGTCTCCAAAAAGGATTCTTATACAACGTTTCTGAGTTATGAACAGCTTATCGTTTGGTTGGTCTTTGAGAGCTGAGCCCCAAACACTTATTCCGTAAGCAAGATGTGATTCCAATAATGCAGAGTATATTTTTTGGTAGTGTTCCCCTGGAACTGAATGTTTGATCCTGTTAAGTGCTCCTGTAGTGGATCTAATTTTTTTTCTTAGATATTCTATATGTGGGCCCCAGCTAAGTTTTTCATCAATTACTACACCAAGAAATTTGGTGTTGCTAACCTTGACAATTTTGTGTCCATTTATAAATATTCCTTGTGATTTGTCATGTTCATTGGCATACGGCCTAACCCTGGCGCAGGTTTCATCAGATTCGTATGCAGGTAGAAAATGTATGTAGCAGCATTTAGACATATTTATATGTAAGAGATTACTTCTCATGAATTTGCATACGAAATCAAGAATTTTATTGGCCTTCAAGTATGTTGCTTCTTTGGACGGTCCAGTGATAAATATATTTGTGTCATCAGCATAGAGCACAAATTTGCATTCATCGCCTTTGTAACAGTTTATTATGTCGTTCATATATAATAAGAAAAGTAGAGGGCCTAGTATGGAACCTTGGGGAACTCCATATTTTACATTCATAGTCTCTGATGTAGTGTTGAGAAATGAAACATACTGTGATCTATCGGATAAATAGCTTTTTAGAAGTCCTAGAGCTAGACCTCTAACCCCATAATTTTCCAGTTTCCTCAGGAGAATGCCATGGTCAAGAGTATCAAAAGCTTTGCTTAGGTCAATAAAGATTCCTAGAACATGATTACCACTGGATGTTGATGTTGTGATTGAATGAACTGATTTGTGGAGTGCATGTGAGGTTGAGTGGCCTTTTCGAAAACCAAATTGTTCATTACTGCCTACAAATTACTCTAGTTCCATCTATAATGAAGTCATCTTTTAGCTGATTCTTCTTTTTGCCACGAAGCTCGTTAATTATTTGCCAGGTTTTTTTGGAGTTATGGCTATTTTTCTCAAACTTTTCAGCATAATACCTGGTTTTGGCAGTTTTTATGGCAATTTTAAGATATTTTGAGTAGTCCTTGTAAACATTATGTCTTTCCAGATCCCCATCTGGAATTAACAATGTTTTTGTTTTTTTCCATTCAAAATAAAGTCTGGCTTTTTTCTCCACAGAGTTGATAAGGCCGTTTGTGATCCATGGATTTGTTATATTATTTCGTTTGGTGGTTTTTGGTGAATCCAATTTGCAAGATATATCTATCTTTTCTTGAAACAGATCCATGAAGGATTCAAAAGAGTCACATCTGTGGTAAAATGTATCTATGTCGTTTTCAATTTCTTCACAGAGCTTATCAAGGTTTGCATTACTATAGTTATAATAAATGGTTGTTTTTTCAGGTGATTTCTCGAAACGGCACGAGCTACGAAGTAGCGCGCGCCGGGCCAGATCATTAACAATGGTCAAGAAAAACAAATCAAAGATTATTGTCATTTGGCTACTTTTACTATAAAGGTTTTATAAATGTTCCTCAGTTTTATATTAAGGGGTTTTTATTCAT